CTGGGGAATTCTGGGAGTTGAAGTCCACACATCTTAAAGCTGCCAAGTTTGAGAAACACTGTTCTAAACTGACCCTATCCTGCTCCATCCCATATTAGGGAGAGTGCTTGGTCATTGTTTCCCAATGCTTGGTGGGAAGAGAAACAAAGCCAGAGGAATCTACCAGTCCCTTTCCTTAATTTGGTTTGCAATATGTAATAATGTAATATGTAATATTACACATTTACATATGTTATATTACATATTTACATATGCAATATCTAATATGTAATAAGGACAGCACCATTTGCCAGCCTCATTATTTTAGCAAAACAGGGATCAGATATTGGCCAGCACACTTTATGCCAGCATAATTTTTACCAGATGAAGGACTGGTGGAAGAGAATTACTTATCTCTCCATCCCATTTCAATATAGCTGCTTTTTTTTTTCTTTTCCGGGGGGGGGCAAGGGGGAAAGATACAGGTATGTGTATCTTTTCCAACTGGAAGTAATTATGAAAAAACAGCCACCAGGGAGAGACCAAAGTCTACATCATCCAGCTGCATCAATATTTCGTTCAAATTGCAGTCTCCTATAGCTGCTTGGATAAAGTGACCACTGCAATAAAATTTGGAGAGAAATCTTTGTGCAGTTGGAGGCCCTACATAAAAGGAAAGGTTTATAATTAATATGTGAACTATTGCGACTATGTGATGAAATGGATAGAACAAGGGGTTTGGAGGAGATATATACCAGATCAATGCCTTACTTGAGAAACTATGCTAGTTGGCCTGGGACAAACTTCTGTCTCTCCTAACTCAGGGGTAAGCATGATTAAACTATTTGATCACAATAGAAAGTCCAATGGAAAGAGAATTATTTCTTTAAAATACCTGCACGTAGGCCTATCAGGCCTGGTTTGCAAAACTCAGAATGACCACTAGATAGCAGCAAAGAAACTCCAGCTCTTTGCTGCCATCTGCTGGTACTCTGTATCGTTGCAGTCTAGATCCGGTAGCCCTAGCCCTATGGGACAACTCCTTGCATTATTTATATTCTGTTTTTGCTTTTGTTTCTTTTCTGAAGTAGTAATGGCTAAAGGTTTTTGTAAATTACAGCTAACTCAGCAACAAAAGCAAAAAAAAGACATTGGGAATTCTGACATATTGTCCTATACACTGGTTTATCTCAAATTTAAAACCTTGTTTTACATTGGATGAAGAATCTGTAGATCTCTAGTTGTGATTGAATTATAGCTTCTAGTAATTCTACTCAGTAAGTGACCTGATGAGGGAAGCTGAGGGTTGTAGTTCAGCAGCATTTGGAGGCCCAGTTCCCCACCCTATTTTACACAAAAACCAGTTTCTCAGATTTACAGCACAAAATAGGGCCTTAAGCTTAGTCAGATGCAAAGTCAGTTTATAGTTACTTAACACTAATGTGGTTTCTCCTAGTAAGATCATCCAGATATCACCAGGAAATAGAATTTTTCAAAAGATCCCCGTTGCTTTGGACTTGGCTGACAGAGATGTTGTCTTTGGACATTAGACCTTCATTTGTTTATTTATTCAATTTATAATCTACCTTTCCGTTCAGCAGATTGCTCAAGGCAACTAACTACACAGATACAGAGCAACATATGTGGTATCCAGACAGACAGACATGATAAATATAAAATCAAGATGCTTAAAGCCACCAATACTAAAATCATTTGCATTTAAAAGCAACTTACTTGAAGTCCTGGCCGTCCAAGAGCTGGCGATAGGTCTCAATCTCTTGCTCCAGACGGGACTTGATGTCCATCAACATCTTATAGTCATTGTTCTGCCGTTCCATGTCAGCTCGGACATCAAACAGCTGGGCTTCTATGTTGCTGATCAGGCCTTGGATCTGGCACAGCTGGGTGCCATAGCGAGCTTCTGTGTCTGCCAAAGTGCCTTCCAGGGCAGCTTTCTGAGAAGGAGAACGCACTGGTGAGAACAGAAGTTCAACGCTTTCTGAAAAAAATCTGTGGCATCAGTTTGAAAGAAATGTCAAATGTAGCTATGAAAACTGGGGCAAGATAAGCTTAGGGAAGAGAAGTTAGGTGTAAAATGGTAATAGTTATACAGTGGTACCTCGGTTCACGAACTTAATTCATTCCGCGACTCTGGTCGTGACCCGAGTTGGTCGCAACCCGAATCAAATTTCCCCATAAGGTTCAATGTAATTATGGTTAATCCGTTCTGAACCATATGT